CAGTAGATAAAAGTACATGTTTTCCTGCATTCTGTAAGCCATTCTAGCAAATAATCAACCCCAAATAGGAGATTGTGGGAACCCTAATTTATAGCCATTGATCAGAACTACAGATGACAATCTGAGACTTGTAATTGGCACCTGAAGTTGGGCCAGCCTTGTAGTACTATTCCCTTAACCTGCACAGTCCTGTGGGACTGTACCCTTAACCTGTAGGAAGGTCTACACAAACTCTGGTTAGTGTTAGAGTTGAATTGAAGTGTAGGATATCCAGCTGGTTTTTTGAAAACTGGCTGATGGGGGAAAAACCTCACACACATCCAGTTACAGAAGTGCTATGTTTTGAGAGTTAAGTAGTAGAAAATCATTGGTTTGGGCTGGGTGCAGTGGCTCATACCTATAATCCCAGGATTTTAGGAGGCCAAGGCAGTCAAATCAGGAGGTCAGGAGTTCAAGACCAGCCTGGCCAACATAGTGAAACCTCATCTCTACCAAAAGAAAAAATACAAAAAATTAGCCGGGCATGGTGGCAGGCACCTGTAATCCCAGCTACTCGAGAGGCTGAAGCAGGAGAATTGCTGGAACCCAGAAGGCAGAGGTTTCAGTGAGCCATGATCATGCCATTGCACTCCAGCCTGGGTAACAGAGCAAGACTCTGCCTCAAAAAAAAAAAGAAAAAGAAAAAGAAAAAAAGAAAATCATTGGTTCAGTTTTCTTATTAACACAATGTAAGTTATTCATAGTATTGACTCGATTTTCTAAATCTCCACAGTGTCTGTACTCGTATTTCCTTTTTCAGTCATAATGTTGTACTCCCTTTTTTTCCCTTAATCAGTCTTATTAGGTTTGCCTATTTTATTCACTCCTTTGTATAACAAACTTTTGGCTCTGTTATTTATCTCTAATTGTATTTTTGTTTTCTATTTTGGTGTTTTCTTCTCTTTATTGGTTCCTTCTTTTTGCTTTCTTTGGATTTATTTCTTAGTTTGAATAACTAGCCCTTAAGTTAAAAACTTAGTTCTTTAGTCCCCAACCTTCGTTTCTCTCTAACATAAAATTTAAGGTATAAATTCACCCCTAAGAACCACTTCAGCTGCATCTCACTTTTTTAGTAATATTAAAATTCACCCCTAAGAACCACTTCAGCTGCATCTCACTTTTTTAGTAATATTATCATTTAATTCTAAGCATTTTCTCCTGTTCATCATTTTTCTTCTTTGAAGTAATAATCAAATTATTTCTAGCCCTAGCGCAGTGACTCATGCCTGCAATCCACACACTTTGGGTGGCCAAAACGAGAGGATCACTTGAGCCCAGCAGTTCAAGACCAGCTTGGGCAACACAGGAGTACCCTGTCTCTATTAATAATTTTTAAAAATTAGCTGAGCATGGTGGTGTGCACCTGTGGTCCCTGCACTCAGGAGGCTGAGGCAAACACCTGATCCTGGGATGTTGAGGCTGCAGTAAGCCATGATCATGCCACAACCCTCTGAACCAAGCAACAGAGCAAGACCCTGTCTCAAAAAAAAAAATACATATATATGTATACTTACAAAGTATTTGGGGTAATATTATTATTGATTTCTGTGGTTGATGATGCTATTCAGCTACCCAATGTCCATTCTCTCCTCATCCTTTGTAACAAAACCCTAAGTTTGAGGCAGCAATGTGCCCAGTTAATAGACCATATTTCCCAGCCTCTCTTGCAGCTAAGTCTGACCTCAAGACTAAGTTTTGACAAATGAGATATGAAGTACTAAGCACCTCAAACTCAAAATATTCTCCAAGCACGACTACTGATGATCTCCACCAAAAATCTATTCTCAAAATCCCCACTACTTCCACCTCCTTCCACTCCAGGTTTTTGGAGCCACAAACCTAGAAGTCTTTCTCGATTCCTCTTTTCTTCATATCCCACATCCTAGCCATTACAATATCCTATCAGCTCTGCCTCCAAAATCTTTCTAAAGTCGAACCTATTCCTAACTACCACTGCCTCACTGGATTATCCTAATACTTCCTATAGGACTCAAAATCTCTTTCTTCCAGAAAATTTATCCTGAATACAGGAGCCACTGAACCTCTTAAATGCAAATCAGATGATTCCACATCTGGCTTAAAATGAAGTTTGATTATGGCCTCTGCTTGAAAGCCAGAAGAAAAGACAAAACTCCTTTCACTGGCCACCAGGCCCCATGTAATCAGATACCTGCCAATTCCTCCAGCCACTCCTTTGCTCTACACTTTCAGCTACATTGACATTCTCCTGCTCTTAATCATGCTGGGTTCAGCCTGCCTCAGACTGCCTGGTGTTCCTGCTTAGAGCAATCTGTCTCCACAAACTTTCTGCCGACCAGAACTTTACCTGGTTGCCTCTTTCTCATAGTTCAAATATCATCCTCCCTCACATGCACACGTATGTTCATTGCAGCACTATTCACTATAGCAAAGACAAAGAACCAACCTAAATACCCATCAATAGTGGACTGGATAAAGAAAATGTGTTACATATACACCAAACACTAGGCAGCTATAAAAAAAAAGAACAAAATCACATCTTTTGCAGCAACATTGATAGAGCTAGAGGCCATTATCCTAAGTGAATTAACACAGGAATAGAAAACCAAATAGTGCATGTTCCCACTTGTCAGTGGAAGCTAAACATTGAGTACACATGGACACAAAGAAGAGAACAATAGACACCAAGACCTACTTGAGGGTGGAGGGCAGGAGAAGGGTGAAGACTGAAAAACTCCCTCTGGAGTCCTATGCTTATTACCTGGGTGATGAAATAATTTGCACACTAAACTATGACATGCAATTTATTCATGCAACAAACCTGCACATGTACCCCCAAACCTAAAATGAAAGTTGGAAAGAAAACAAATGGAATTACTATATGATCCAGCAAACTCAGGAGAAGAAGAGGAAGAAGAAGAAGGAGAAGAAGAAGGTAAGGAAGAGGAGGAGGAGGAAAAGTAGGAGGAGGAGGAGGAGGAGGAGAAAGGAGGAGGAAGGGGAGGAGAAGGACCTTTCCTGACCACACTGCCCCAGCAAAAGCAGCATCCTCCTCCCACCCCAAGTGACCTTCAACCTCATTACCACCAATTTACAGTTTTTATAGTACAGTGGTTTTCTGGAATTATCTGAATTACCTGACATTTATCTGATAATTTCCCATTATTTATGTTGTTGCTTTTAGTATCTGACTATTGTAAGGTGGTCATTAAATACAATATATAAGATATAATACTGGAATACATACACACAGACACAGAGACACACAAAGACACACACACATACACAATACAGGTTATCTGATATACATGGTAGTATGTAATAAATAATATATGTTTAATATATATGCTATATATCTGATGTACAATGCATAATATATAATGTATAATATATAATAAAGTGTATGGCAGTCAATATACAGTGTATATACGAGGACAAATAATATTAAAGTATTTTAAAGACATACATCTTAAAATTTTTCAGTCCTACTTCTATAATTCCTCCAAAGCCACAAAAACACAGAAAGGAAGAGAGAGAAGAAAGAGAGAGGAAGAGATAACGCAGTTTGAAAGAGGATATAGCTAATGCCGAGCCCTGATCCATATAGGACAGCACTCACTTCCCTGTTCTAACTTAAACTATCAGAAGAAAGGAGTAGGCACCCAGGGGGCACTGGTCTGTGAGCTACAGAGGCATCATCTTGCTGTGGTATGAGCTAAATGCCAGCTCTCATTGTCACCTGCACTACTCCTTGAAGAGAGAATGAATCTGTGGTTCCCTTTCATGAAGTGTTGCCTTCTAAGAGCCTAGACATACCAGTTGCAGAATTGTAGCAATAAAGGGACTTGGCTGGTCCTGTTTCCTTTCCAACACAGTTCATTCTGGGAGTTATGGAATCCCTCAGCTACACAGATCCTTGAAGTCCAAATGAACATATAATGAAACAGCATATTGCAAGTGCCTTACTTAGATATATTCCTCTGCTTAGGGCAAAGTAAGAACAGTAAGAAAACCAGGTCACGTTTTTCAGCTAGGTCATGTTTTTCATCTTTTCTACTATTGGCCTTTTTCATCAATCTTAAAATGTTATTTTCTACATCTTTGATTGCTACTCTTGAGTTGTATTTCCAGCCACCATAAGCTACTTTCCTGCAAGCTGTAATTTAAGCCCATCTTGCTCACAAATTTTGAAAATGGAAATCCATAGACGAGAAAACTATCTTCTCATGTGCTTGGGATGTTGCGATTTCATCAGTGTTGCTGGGCTGCGTGGTCCTTTTTAGAGGAAGTTGCAATTCCCTTCATGATAAATAGGAAGGAAATGAAGGTGATTAAAGCCCTCATGATGTAAATTTCAGTGTTGGCTGAATGGTTCTTTTTATCCCAATCCTGCTTTTGCAAACAAAGCTCTAGTGAGACTGAGTCTGGAAAGCTACCACAGCTCCATGACAACTGGACTGGCCAGCCATGGTGACCATCTCCATGTTCACATTGTAGTCATTTACAGCCATGCATATGCACATTGTAGGGACAAACATTCACTTTTGCTCTCACCAAGAAAAAGAGCATTAGCAACCAATTAGTAGAAGGTGGCACAAGAGAGGAGCACTACTAACAGGTCAACTTTGTGCCTAGTGAACTCAGCTGTTAATTTCTATGCATGATGGTAAGATAAAATTATTGCCCTAGTTTCTGTATGTTGGCCACACACAGGCACTGTCAAGACCTCTAATGCACTGTGATTTCTATGCTTAGACATCAGATGCATGATACCGGTTTTTCTTAGTGTACACATGTGTGTAAAGAATAAGGAGGTAGCATGACTCTCAAACAGAGATCCAAGACTTTCTAAATTTAAAAAATCCTTTACTAGTTATAAAATCAAAAAATACAAAGGAACAATTCTTCTTATGTGTAAAGCAACTGAACCCAAAAGGATGGCATTATGGAGCCCCCCTGCACATAGCACTCCGCTGACTCACCTTTGCATGGGGTGTGCTTCTATCCCACAGGGTGGCACTGCTCACAATGGGAATGTAGCAAGGGGATTTCTGAAAGATTAGAAACAAGGCATTTAGTATCACTTCAGTGATTCTTAAAAAGAAACATTTTCACTCCTGATATGGTTTTTAGGTAGATCAGAAGTTAATTCTTTCAACCCATGGCTGTTCATTCACTGAGTACGCAATATTGCCCAGAACACTGTCATAGGTGCTTTGGGAACAATGGTGAGCCCAAAACATAATTCCCATCCTCAAGAGTCCAGAGAGGGGCACAGGTAGTAATGAAATAATCACACAAATAAATGTAAATTTCAACTCTGATATGTATGATGAAAGAGAGAGACAACGTATTTTGAAAATATGGTGGTATATTGTGATGAAATAGAATTAAACATTTACACCCTTTTCCATGTGACTTTGATGTACCTCTCATAGCCTGAAGCCCATCCCAGCTGAGCCCAGTGCAGCCATAGTCAACCCACAGGCCCATGAACATAAATAAGAAATGAACGTTTATTGTTGAAAGTTACTTATTTGGAGTTGCTTGGCATGCAGAATTATCATTGTAGAAACCTATGACTGAAACATATATACAATACATACAATAAATATACTCAGTGAAGTCAGAAGAGGTAACCACTGGGATCTCACAATGGAAGAGAACAATTTTACTTAAATATCAAACCAGACATTTGATTTGAAGCATACTCGCAATTTGACTTAAAATGTCAAACCTTATCCATCTGCATGACAGCCAATATATATATTGACTTAATAAGATAATATCAGGATTTGTTTTCATATTTCTGATTTTCAATTTGGTGGTGCTTTTTATTTAGTTAGTCATGCTCTTCAGGGCCTTTGACTCTTTGTTCCCCAATATTTGCTAAAACCAATCTGTTAAGGCTGGTGTCATGAAGGAGAGATCCCCAAAAAATCTATCACTAGGCTATGTCAGAAAAACAATGTATATGTTAGAAAAACAATGGTAAATCTGCCACTACATTTCCCAGAGGTGATTAGATTCTAAAGCAAGTGGTAGTAACCAAAGAATCACACAAATAAAGGTAAGATTCCCATAACACTAAATGTTATGAAGGTATAGACATAGGTAGAGTCAAGTCACTATCATGTTGACTTAGATGATGGACTGGGGACCTAAATGGAGACAAAAATGGAAGAAGAAACAAGAGCTTCTCTGAAATCAAAGTACAATGACTGACAGATGGCAACAAGAGAAGTGGTAGGGGTTCCCAGGTGGCAGAAGTAGATAAAATTACTAGAATCTGGAATAAATAATTGGGGAGCATAACAGATTTCAAAGCACTGAAGCTAGGTAGTGCTACCACTGTGATGCATTTATACTGCCTGTCAAGGACAGGTGGGGCGCCTGGGCCTCCCTGATATGTCCTCCCATGAGGTCAAGAAAATGAGTCTTCTGCCTAGTATCTCTGACATCAACTCTGTGTTGGGCATATGGAAAGCATCCAATCAATGCACTTAAAGAATGCAGGGGCACTCTCCTCTCATCCCAAAAGGAGTCACTGGGTACAAAACCTGAAGAAATTCTAAATTGGCAACATTTGCACTTGATAGATGAGGAAACTGCTGGAGATCACACAACCATGTAGTGACAAGCCAGGGGTCAAATTTTAGAATCTGGATTTTGTATTCTACCCATCGTCCTCTGTTGGGTTATAGGCACACATGCACAACCTTCAAACCTCAGCTGCCTGGTTTGATTGGAAAAGCAACCCCATGTGTGCAGGGAGGGGAAGAAACTTCATTTACAAAGCAAGAATCACCAGTGGGAAAATCAGGCCCATCCCCATAATATGCATCTCAGTTCTCCTCCATGGACTTCCTGGCACTCACTCAAACCATGTACATTCACACATCTGGTTATCTTCCAATTAGGCAACCTTTGCCCAGGGCAGTTAGCACCACGCACTGAATGCTGTCCCAAACCATTCTGCTCTGATACTTTTTTTTTATTTTAGTGGAGATTTCTTAGTGCCACTCCTAAAACCTATTCAAGTTGTGGATGGCATAGCAGGGTGGCATCATTCACAGAGATTGGGATGCCAAAACAATACCTCTTGGGGTTGTTTGTGTACCACCTGACCATCTATACCAAACAGTTCTGATATTTCTGTTCTCCGAAGAACAAGACTTTATGGTAGCCAATAGCTCAAGGAAATCATGTGCATTATGATTGTTTCGGTTTTTAAATTTTTTATAAAGCATTATTGAGATATAATTTATGTACAAATGGCTGCATATATTGGCGGTATCTGCAGGAAGAAAGAACAATTAGGGAATGTAAGTAACTTAGAAACCTTGAACTTTTAAGCAAGACTAGGAGTCCAGAAAGAAACAGACTAGCAGGACAGGTAGAATTTCTTGGTAAACAAAAAAGCTATTGTAATCAACAAGGCAAAAATAAATAAATAAAAAGCTTGAAAGAATAAAGTAGCTGAGATATTCATTGCCAGTCATTAACCTGATTTTCTAATGAATATGGCATTAGGCATTCATTAACAATCATTTGTGTTTATGTTGAACAGTGGATGTATAATGAAGGTTGGTAAATGAAAGCAAAATTAAACCAGGGAATTTTGGACACTTATAAAGCAATTAACTTGTTTGGCAGTAATTACACATTGAAAGCTAAATCAAGTGCATTTAGAAAGCCACAAGAGTCGCCACATAAACCAGAGGTGCTTTGCTCTAAAATAATAGAAAAGCCTCCCTTTCTTTCCAAATGAAAGAGAAAGGCAAAAGTATGGTATAAATGACAAACAAGGCTCAGGTCTAATGAAAAGAAATATGGTTACAGCCCATATGTTAGAGAAGAGGCAAGTTACAAAAAAATAGGACAGCTCAGCTAATTAAAAGAGAAAAAAAAAGCCTTTTGTAACAACAATGATGTGAAAACAGGTGGCATGTGCTGGAGAGTTCAGGTTTTTGTTCTGTTCATGCTCACAGGCATGCACACTCACGCAAGTGCACACACACGCATCTATACACTTGAACCACCTAATAGGTACGTGAGGAGTAAAAACCGAATCCACCATCAGGTCCTTGGAAGGCCACAATATCTCAGTAGCAGGTCTTTGTCACTGACGATTTTGTAACATGATTCTCCAGATGAGTGTTTGACCACAGCCTTTTATTCGACCCAGCACATGGCATTAGAGGTCAGTCATTAAACACACTCCAGGACTCTGTTATTTAAAAAGGAGAAGTGAATAAGGTACTATAGAAGATATAAAGGTGAGACCCAGGGAGAAACCATTACTGAACTGGTGGTAAAGCAAAAGAAATAAACATAAAATTCCATGCATCCACAAGATTCATCAACAGAAATGTTAGTATAAAAATGCATTTAAAAGCCAATGAACCTTTCAGATAAGGAATGAATTTTCTCAGGATTTTCAACCCTACGATATACTACCCAAGAAATGCTACAGATGTACTGTTTTTGTGTATCTGCACGTGTGGAGGTGCAGGTTCCAATGGGGTCATAAGGCTGGAGAAGAGAGCTTTCAGATGAGCCCAAAGGTCTGAGCAAAGGGTTCAAGTTTTTCAAACTGGAGGCTTGATCACGCTCCTCAAAAAGATCTGAAGATTCATGACCTCTTTCCATCTGACAAATACCTTCACAAATAGGGAGTTGTAGGCTCTTGAGGGTTAGTAACCAAAAGAAAAGTTCCCAGGGGGATCTACAAAGGGCAGCTGGCTTTGTGGAAACATTTGCGAAGAGCTTGGGTGTCAACTATGCTGAAAACAAATACTTGCTTTGCCTCTGAGGTTGGAACAGAAACCAGGAGATAGCTTTTGAAATCCTTGCTTTGGTCATTAAACTGCTACCAAATAAAAAACCTGTTTGCCTTGATGTGGGGTAGTGCATTTCTTTCTAAAGGATTGGTCTCTCTTTTAAAAAATTCATTTTCTATCCAAGCAGAGGATCAAGACATTAAGATGAAAAACTTATTTCTCACTTATTTGAACCCTTTTTAAATATTTAGGTTGTCTACTTAGTTCTAATCTAATGTGGATTATTTCATTTGCAGTTTACTTGGTTAGAAAATTACTGCCTGATTTTGGCCAAGATCTCATCAATATACCAGTGTACTATTTTATTATCTTTACAACAGACCCAATGCCTTTCCCTGAGACTTCACAAGCAAAGGCATTTAAATATCAATAAACTCAGGGAATACACTATTCTTGAAGGCATCTACTACTAATCCAGGGCTTCTTACATTTTATTGTACATCAAAATCACCTTAGGAGTACTTAAAATGCAGATCTAATTCAGGAGATCTAGAGGAGGGCCTGAGATTCTTGTTTTATGATAAGCTACCAGATTATGTTGTTTCCGGAACAGCTCCCAGGTGATGCTGATCTACTGATCAGTAGAAAGTAGACAGCTGCTTTCGAGAGGATATATGGTCAGGACCAGACATAACTGAAGCCCTGGAAATAGATCAGTTCTTCTCCAAGAAGAGACCTGGATGGAGTAATGATCAGAAATTAAACAATAGAGAAAGAGCCATTAAAGATGAAGTATACAAGGAAGGGGGTCTGGTCACCACTGCTTCTAATCATCTATGTTTCCCAGCTGCCATGGCTTTGCCAATGCTTTTCTCTCCACTTGTCCAGATGTTGAGATCAAGACAATTCAGCTTATCAAATAGCTATTGGTTTGCCATGTACTATGTTTGGCACCAAGCATACAAAAGTAAATGAAGCATCATCTCCATAACGCTCCCCTGGTGCAATTACAGCACAGCAGGATAAAGGCTGTGAAAATGGATGACTAACGTACCAGGAGAGCTCCTCTCCCAGACCTAAGGAGAAGATTTAGATAAATGTGAAGAATCAGGAAACACTTCTTGGAAGAGCCAAATGTTGAAGAAAGAGGAAAAAAAATCCAGTTGAAAAAGAAGAAGTAAAAGTAATGTTAACAGAGAGAGGGTCATCATGGGGAAAGTGTAGACTGAGAGAACATTCTGACTCCACTATGAGCTGCTTCCAGGTCA